GGTAAACAGGAACAACCACCACGTTACTCTGTCGATGGAAACAAGTGAATGTCCGAAACGTCAGTCCCAATATAACTTGGTCTATGTCCTTGAACCTTCTTCTCCGTCTTCTTTGGGAGATGATGAAAACGGTAAGATATCTGGACCTCAAATCTTTGCGCATATTACTCCTATTTCGGTTTAGGGGGCCATATCAGTAGTCAAACTGCAGGGAACATGTAGTGGCTCAAGTCCGCGCAGATCCCCATGTGATTTCAAGTCTCGACCTACCTTTTGGACAACCGCCGTGGACGCTCAGTGCTGCTCAGATGCGCACATACCTCCGCCTACCCACGCGCACTGGACAATCACATGTCAGTTTTAAGGTTAGCGTTGAAGTAAGTTAGGCATACGTTTATGGTTAAGCTTAGAGTTATTGTTAAGTTAACGGTCAGAGTTAAAGGTATGTAGAACCCCTCCATTTAGCTTAGTCGCTATCACGCCTACCTCAACTGTTACCTGCAGCATTTGCACTCGGTTAGAGTTAAAGTTAGGATTTACGATTAAGAGTAAACCTTTCAATGTTGTCAATTAAAAGTATATATTTAGTCCGGACAATAAAGAGAGCTCAAATCAACGATGCATTTCTCTGTTATTGGTCATCGCATGTTTGGACAAGTTTGCCTCGAATATTTAGTCAATGACCTTCGTTTTCGTGTTTTTCTGCCCATTTAAACCTAGTAATTTCCAATATGTCTTTATTTTTTATTACTGCGTCCAAGAGGTATTGGGTCGAACGTACTATGTTATCTTTTGCTTCCTGCAAACAGCTAAATGTAAGCCAGTTTTGGCTATAAACTAAACTCAGTCGTGGGCGGAATTCGTGAAAAACGTGGCCTTTCTTCATCCTCACAGTTTTTTTTAACAGGAAAAACCCGTAATACATAGGCCCCCAAAGTCCAGATCGGAAAATGTATAGCTTTACTTCATTACGATATATTTCTGCAAAAAGGAGTAAATATGACTTACGTAGAAAGGAAGATAGCCTGATAGTAGGATAGAAAACTTCGTCTGTACAGCTGGAAAAAAAAGAAACCGGGGTTACCACTTGTTTTGAGGGCATTCATGCTGTCACAAAAGAAGTTATTAGTAACAGGTACTTTCG